TCAGAGCTGTGAATGCTCTCTGGTTTTGGGGCGCCATTTCCTTGAAAATGAAGTTGACAAAGTCGGCAAAGTTTCCTGGTACTTGTCGGTTCATGCGCTCCAGCAACGTATCCAGGGTCTGCTTCGTCATAATCGGGCCCATCTGCTCGCCCCAAGCGATGCGGATGAACTTCTCAAAGGCAACAAATATGACATCCGCGCTGCACTCGGATGAGGCGTCGAGGTCGAACGGACTCTCAATCAGCCGGTTGTAGAGATCATTGACCAGGAGCTCGTCGGCAAGGGATCGGTTCAGCAGCATCCGCCCGATGATACTACCTTTGCGGGCCTGAAGACTGGCGACATATCCTGTAAAGGTCTGCTCGAGGCGTACGAGAGGGTTTTCGGGGCGGTCATCACCGCTCATCTTGATTCCGTCTTTGCCCCTGGCAGAGCCGTAGATGGAGCCTGCTTCGCTGTTTGCTCGTGAGACTGGTGGAGGGAACACATTCGTCACGGGTGTTCTGCTGTGCTTTGGCGGACTGTGTGCTTCAGTGTTTGTTGAGCCACCCCAGATGCTAGAGAAAAGTCCCTTGACGGGGGAAGAAGCCAGGAACGATCTCGTCTTCTCTGCCCTCGTCATGAGCGGCAGGCCTTTGAGGATCTTGGTGTAGTAAGACACCAGCGCGGGTGCCAGTCGCATATTTGACACACTGAACTGCGTGCCCAATAACTGAATGACTGCGCTTGAAGTTAGCGTTTGATCTCCATCTAGCAGGTATGCGCCATCTTACTTCGTCGTGTGAGTGTCGGCAAGAAGTCGTCCAACGCTACATCGTCTGTGAACTGCTTGCCGTTCAACCCAGCAGTCACCATTTTGACCTTCTTCAGGTCGCCGCTGTTGACGTTGACCGTGATTTCGACGCCGTAGTGTCCAATTGGCGCACCCTTGGTGCCCTTCTCGTGGTCAATGACGATACGAATTGGTGCAGGCTCCCTTCGACCATCAATGAGCTGGTCGGCGCCCTCCTGGAAGACAGCAGCGAAGAACCCGAGGTTGTTGTCCGACATTCGAATAGAACGAAGCGTCCACGAAGGGTCCTCGCGCTCTTTTTCCGAGAACCGACCCTCCACACGGGCCTTGACAATATCCTCCGTCCACTTTGACGCTCTCGTAAAGGTCTCCTCCAGCAAGAAGCACCGCGACGTGACGGCAGTGCCCGTCACCCACTCTCCCGCATGCGCTCCCTTCATCTCCTGGGTTGACGTCATCCAAATAAGCTTGCCATCTGTCGACTCGGTGAAGCGCACGTCGGCCAGGTTATGCCAGCCCGTGAACGCAAGCTCGTAGGTGGGCTGGCCACCGGCGGCATTCGTCATTGACAGGAGAAGACCCGCTGCTGAAGGCTTGTCTATTTCGCGCAAGAGGTCCTTGCCAGTCATCGGCTTCGGTCCCAACTTCTTCAGAATGACTAGGCAATCTGAAAACAAGACAAAGATACCGGCACGCTCCGCCGCCTCCGGAGGTTCAAGCACACGGTATGGTGCAGGGAGCTCGACGAAGTCGGCTGCGAGGACGAGTCTTCCTTGAGGCTCGAGGTCAAGGGGCCAACTCTCAACCATGTTGCGCAGGCGATTCGTCACTTGCGGCTTATCTGGGATAGGCTCATCCATTGAGCAAATATTTGTAATAATGTCGCGAGCTTTAAGCATCGATTGCAGCGCCGGATGTGTCATGGGAAGACAGCTCACGATCTGGTCGATGAGCAGACTGTATCGAGGAAGACGCTGAACAGGTTCGATGAGAATTGAGCGGACGGTCTGCTCGCCGGTCTGCAGAACCCGTTGACGGAAGCTCGATTGCTGGTCAAGAAACGAGTTAAGAAGCGTAGGGAAATGCTGGCTGGCGCGAATGTACTCCTGGTAGCAGTCTGTGAACTTGGGGAACCACTCGAGAAATACCCTCGCGATCGCCAATGCGCCTGTGGGATCCTTCATCTTAGATGGCGATCCCAGCCTTGATCCTGTCAGCGCAACTGTCGTCACCTCCATGTCCCGGACGGCTTCCTCCTCGGTATCATCCATGATCTTGCGCAGCTCCTGCATGAAAGCAGAGTTGACCTGCAGTATCCTATCCGCCGACCTGGGGAAAAGCTTCTCGAGTTCTTCTTCAGAGGGGCTCAGGCTGCTCGGGTCGCGCTGTCTCGCAGATTGTCTAAAGTCGTCGGCGATGTGCTTCACCAGCTCGTTCAGCTTCAGAACATATCTCTCTTCGGTGTCGACCAGCTCCCCGAGCTTCATCCTCAAATCCACCTTTTGGTCCTTGGAGAAGGACTTGCTGCGATTCAGCGACGTCGGCTTGGAAGGCGCCCTCCGCAATCTGGATGTCGGGAGAAAGACAGGCTCGCCGAGCAGCTTCACCAGCGGCGTGTATCCTCCATATTGTCGCAGAGTCGGGTCCAGGAAATCGTCGTCATCCTCCGGCGCGTCGTCGAGATCTTCGGGTTGCAGCGGCACAATGGAGCCGGGCGGCAGGACAAAGTCGACGTCCACGTTGCTTAGATATTGGGTCTGCAGGGCGGTCTGCAACGTCTCGAGAACCTCGATGGTGTTTTCGCTCTTGATCATGTTCTTGGCGAGGTCAGCGGCATGCTGCTCGCCAAAGAGGGCCGGCCCGCTTCCCGGGCGGCGCCCTCTCGTGGTCGGGTATGTGTTCTTGAGATGGTTCTTGACGACCTCGGGCAGCTCCTGGAAGTATTTGTAGAGGCCAAAGGCGAGGCCTCGGTAGACTTCGTCGCCCTGCCATTCGCGCGGCAGGTGGTTGACGACGGCGTAGAAGGGCGAGTTGGGTTGGATGGTCAAGCGCGGGAACGACTGGAAGCCGGCGGGGCTGTAGACGTGGATCTGGACGCGGGAGCTGTTGAGGGTGTAGTTCGCCGTGGTGGAGGCGCCATGGAAGATGAGGACGGGCAGGTGTCCGAGGAGGGGGTCGGCGGCGTGGTATAGGGTGAGCTGGTCGGCGGACAGAGCCAGCTCCTCGGTGACACGAACCATTGTCGGGGCTGGCGATGCGGTCGATCGGTCGGTCGGTCGGTCGGTCGGTCGGTCGGTCGGTCGCGTGGGCTCGTTTAATGGGCCAAGGTCATTGCTGACTGGGCGCTGACCGAATCACGCAAGGCAAAGGGAAAGAAAAAGAGCCGGCAGGGGTGTATGAAGTCGGCAAACGAGTGTATCGACTTCGGTGTGCTGTGGTGTGTGTGTGTATGTATGTCGACCGCGTCGGGCGCAAAGTGGTCGAGCCGGGTCGAGTGGCGGTTGAGTCTATGACTGAAGGCCAAGGGTAGCAACGGAGCGGCGTTCGTGATGCGACTCTCGACGAAATGGAAATAAGGCTTTTGACGTGCCAGCAAAGGGAAGAAAGAAAGAATCAGGGGGTAAAAAGAGTGTGAGGAAAAAGTTGGCAAATTGCCAGGCTGGCTAGCGCGACCAAAGTTGGACAGATGAAGATTGCAAGCGCAGCGATAATTATCGTGTGGTGGTGGTGGTGGTGGTATTGGTGGTGTCGGTGTCGGTGTGAGTTGGCTGGCGTTGAGCGCAGCCGGGGTTGAATCGAGTCCGTGGGTTTGGCTTACGGGCGCGGTGGTTTACCTTTGACTTGGAGAAAGCAGCACCTCAGCAACGACAGCAGCAACAGAGGTATACAGCGACAGCGGCGGTGGGTATCCGTAGGTTAGTAGGCAATGTAAAGTAAAGTAAGGTAAGGTACGGAGTAAGGTAGCAGTATATCCGCAGTGTATGGACGTAAGGCAGTCTCTAAGTGGGCTGCCCTGGATGTGAACTGGGCTGGCTGGGCTGGGCTGGGCGGTCTGTGGTCCGTGGGGCGCTGTATGCCGTGTGTGTTGTTGTTTGTTGTGATTGCGATGGAGCTGCGAACAAGGAGAGGTGAAGCCCAATCCCAAAGTTGATGGAGTGTGTAATACCATAAGGCAGAGGGGTCCTGGTAAGGATCAGGAAGAAGTCTCCATCAATGATTAAACAGCACCGCAATGGATCCCGGTTTAATCTGCCCGTCCTCTCTATTGCAACTTTTGTTGAACCCTTTGTTGATCATCAACTTCTGAAGCAGGCCACGCAGATGCAATGAAACAAGGAAACCAGCCTCTTGTCCTCCGTCAGTTTTCTAGTGGTTGTATCTTCTACTACCTAACCAGGTAGGGTTGGTTTTTCTTGGGCTTGCTACCCTCTGTGCCTCTTCACCGACACTCCCATGCAGATGCAAGTAAGTGGACGAGGAACAAAGAGGGTTAGAGATGTGACGGGGGGGCAGAGAGCGGGAGAGGGAGGATGACGAAAACGCCAGACAAGGGGAGGGGAATTAAGCGACGAACGCCTCAGTCCTGGACTCGGGCTAGACCTCTTTACCTTGTCGACGAGAAAACACACTGATGATTCGAGTGTTTCTACGGACAACTGTAGTAAATCAACAAAACAGATCTCATCGAGAGGGGCTACCAAGGACAAAAAAGAAAAGAGTCCTAGACGACGGAATAAACATCCACTATTGACTGGGAGTCGCGTGCTATGCCGACCGCCTTGGATCTATTGGCTGTCTCTAATTAAGATACTGGTGCTCCGTACTCTGTACTTCTCGATCATACATGCATCTTACCGCAAGTCCGAGTGAAGTAGAAATTTTCATCAAATGCTTCTGTGACTGGATGCTCACAAACTGGAAAGATGCAGGTGCACGTCGGCAGCTCGAAATGCAGGCAGGTTCGGACTCTCAGCATCACATCGCATCGCTCCTCCCCCCGTCCCTCTCTCGCTTTCGCCCAGTCCAGCAAGCACCATCAAAAAAGTGGCCTCGAAACGTCAACATAAACAGATCCAACGCGCCCCGCCCATCGCCCAAGACGCGTCCACTCAAAAGCTGTCCAAAGGTACAAAGTCTCCACCCGTAACCTTGCCGGACCAGCAACAGCCGCACTAAAACAAGGCACTCGGGCCCACGGTACGTACACGTAAGAATGTGAAGCTCGGACGTGCAATACCCAAGATACGTACCCCAATCCTCCAGCTTCTGCCCAATCATTGCATCTTTCGATGCCAGTACCCCACCAGATCACCTGCCAAAGTCGATACAGCCAATCACAGGAGCTCCCCATGAACCCCTCCTCCTTCCTCCCATGAATCCCATCGCATCCCATCCAATCTAATCGGCTCTCCATCCCAAAAATCCCCAAAGACGTCTCTTTTCCCACCCCGCACCGATTACGCGACTGCTGATTCCATCTCACGCGCTCATATCAATGTTCAACTAGGCTTCACATCTCGCTCCATCAACAACGTCACGTTTCCCATAGATCAGAGACGAGACACCGTACTTCCGAGTCAAACGCCATCTCTCGTTTCTCGCAGACATGTCTACCCAAGACCCCGGTATCCCCTTGACCCATGCCCCAGACGCCAGAGGGTACAAGCTCATGGAGCTGCCCCCCGATCTAGAGGCCCTGCTCACTGCCGAAGATGCTCCGGTGTAAGTCAACCCACTTCACTCCCTTCCATCACCCCCGTGCAATGTCATGGCCCCCGGCCCGTTCACTCTCAGCCTCAATCACGACATCTAACCTCACTTCACCTTACTTGAACTTCACCCCCCCCTTCTCCGGGTATCACATTCACTCACACATGACAGCATAACCCTCACATCAACCCCTACAACAGCCCTCCTCAAAACCCCAGACAAAACCTACAAGCTCCTGCAGAAAAACACCTCCAACTCTCTCATCCTCCTGGCCCCTCACGCCACGGCACCCTCACCAGACTCCTCGGAAGACAACATCCCCGTCACCGGCCTGGCCGCCATCGCCACCATCCACGAGACCATTGAGCTCATCGCCCAGACCGAGCCGCAGACGATATCAAACCTCAAAAACACTGGTAGTAAGGGTAAATGGCATGAGAAGTTTGGCCGGGGCCGGTAAAACCAGCAAACTCATACTTACTTGCACATCACATATCTCACTAATCAATCATTGCATTCACAAACAAATCTAGTGAACTCTCTGCTTTTTAATTACCTACAACGCGGTTTGCTTCATAGTTCACACAAACCTGCTACGCTATAGCTATCCGCTTCACAAAAAAACCACCCGTTGCTGATGGTGTCCCAAGTGAGATATACCCTGCTGGCATGACATTCGCTTTCCTCCCCTCCGCCCAAACGTGAGTGCCTCGATGAATGCTAGGGTAATGAGATGGAGATGCCCTCCAACGCCGTGCTCAAATATCATCTGATGACCACCCTCCTGAAAACTCCTGAAAAGTAAAAGAAAGTAATAAGACAAGGAAAACGCAAGATAACACACTCGTATCCTGCTTGCCACAAACAAAACAAAACCACGCTGTCGCCTTCTTGCGATGTGACAATAGCCACCCAGTGATGCTGGCCTCCCGTCGCTTCGTCGTGATGTAAAGAAAATCGTGTAAGAGTAGAAATAGAAACCCGGAAACCTGCAATTAGTCCATCTTGATAGGATGATCTCTGCTTCTTCCGGGACTACCACTCGCTCCGCCGCGCTCAAGGGCAAGGCGCTGTCGAAGTTCGTTACCTGTATCAAAGGCTCGCTGGGTTGCTTGACTCATGAGTGCCGGATTCTGAGCTTGGGGTCCGTCCCGATCCTTAATGCTAGCCACGAATCGTGCGAGTCCGCCATTGGGCCCTACTCCAAATCGAGCTCCGCCATTAGAGCCGACTGCCACTCGAGGTCCGACTCCCAATCGAGGTCCGCTACCGGGGCCGGCTCCTAATCGAGCTGCAGGTAAATCGGCCATCGCGGGCTGCACAGGACCTCCAAGTCGTCTCAGTCGAGTTCCGAAAAAGTCATTGTCCTCCGGTACCGGTACGGCTTCAAAATGATCGCCCATGAGGTGCCGGGACTGATGCTCGGCCTGCTGACGTGCCCGCTGCCCCCTTGCCTTATCTATCATGTTCTGGAGGTCAGGCCGTTCCGCACCCTTATTGAGGAACTTCTGCCTCTTCAACTCTCTAGGTTCTCCGTGCTCTGGACCCCATTCATCTTCGAAGCCCAAGTTGTTAGGATTATCGAGTCTTGCCTGATCGGGTGGCGGGATGACTGGCACTGCTTGAACTGCAGGCGGGTGAGGCGCGATGCCTGGCGCGATGCCTGGCACTGGTTGGACTGCAGGCTGGGGAGCGGCCATCGGCACTGCTGAGCCTACAAGCTGGGGAGCCGCCGGCGGTGCATGGTTTTGTCCCAAGTAAGGGCCTCTGGGATCTTGCGGAATTCCGAAACCTGGTCCGGGTCCGACGACTGGGCCATGTTGCTGATCTAGCATCATGTAGTTATGGCCATGCAAGTATGCATAGTTTGGAGGACCCAAGTGAAACCACGGATTCTGAACTTCAGCAGCAACCACTCCCGGCGCAACAAAAGGATGAGCTTGTGGCTGTGGCATTGGCTGATAAATGCCGGCCGGAGTCCACTGATATGGAATGCCAGGAACTGGTTGAACTATTCCGGGTTGGACATTCGGGCGATGAAAAGGTCGTGCCTCGAGATCATGCCGCTCAATCATGGCATCTACTTCCGCCCATTCCTGGGCAGCTCGAGCTTCTAGGCGGTTCTCCTTAGGGACTGCTGGTGCCACGGGAACTCCCGAGTTGACCTTGAGAAGGTTTTCCTTTGCTTTCATCAATGGGTGTCGCTCCAGAATCCCCTGACGGGCTTGTGCCTCGGCGTGTTGCACTTCCTCATTATGGCGCATGTTGACATCGTCAAAGAGGGGACAGTTGCCCTTCTTTCCACCTCTAGTCTTGTCGTCAAAGTGGGTGTAGTCGCACGACTTGGAGCAAACGTAGCACTGGATGTTCCTACATCCACGCTTGGGACAAGTCATCTTGTTGCACCCTGATTCCTTTACAAAAGCCATGCCGCCTGTGTTAGATGTCAGTATCAGGTGCAATCGAATGAAGGGATCTTGGTCCATTTGCCAAATAAGAAAAAATACTCACACTTGTTGCATTTGCGGATGAGCGCAGTGGACATGGCCTCCTCAATCTGACGCCGAGCACCTTCTGTGCTGTCACTAGCAGCTTCTTCGCAGGTTCTGGGTATATGGGTTTCTTCTCTGCAGAGCCGGCAGCTGACCACGTGGCAGTCGGGATTCTCGCACTTGAACTCTCTGTTGGATTCGACAGGCGGATATTCGGCAGCATAAGGACAGAAGGGACAGGTCTCCAAGCCGTCAATGCCAGCCATTCGAAGATTAGCCTCGGATTCAATGCGATCTAAAGCTTGGGTGAGCTGCTCGTTAATGAACTTGGCGCGTTCTTTGTAGGAGAATCCAGCATCGCATCCATCTGTGGACATGCATGTGATCTCATATTTCGAGAGACCAACAACTGTCTCGGCGTTGCGGCGTGCACAGTCGACACAAAAGAACTTGAAAGCGTCAGCAATAGTCTGAAAGAAGGAAGTACCATATGCTCACATGGGTTCCTTTCTCGCAGCAGACCATACGATTGAAAGCAAACTCGCCATAACAACAGCCACAGTCCAAAACAGTGCCAAGGGCCTTTGCTGTCTCAAAGTTCTCAGCCTCTCTGGCAGCCTCAAGTCTAGCTGCTTCTTTGCTGGTCTTTGTAGCCTCCAGTACTTGACGAGCGGCCACAAGTTCGTCCAAAGCTCTCTTTTCAACAGGATTCGCCGTTCTCATGAGGTGATCCAATCTCTCTCCCTCAAAGATACGCTCCGATGGCGGAGTCGACTTCTTCTTGAGCGCAAAGCCGGGAGGGAGGCCATCTCGTACACCTTTTTTCAGATCCTCGACAGCTTGATCTATGCGAAGGTATGTGGGCAGCAGTTGATTGTCGTGGTCAAAGAAGACCTTCGCAAGGCACTTCTGGAGAACCTGAGGGAAATCATGCTTCAGGATTTGCTCCCTAAATCCAGCGTCAGCCTCAGTTGGGTAATGAGCATGGCGCAACGGCGCGGTCGTCATGTCGATGATCTTGGCCGTGCAACTTATACGGGGGGAAGGACTTGGAGTCAGACTTACGACTTATCGATGTATCTCGCCTCGACTTCCCGCTCTCGGCCTGGGTAGGCATAAAGGCGGAGGATGTTTGCCTTCTCATCATCCTCAGCCGATCCTTCACGCTTCCGCTTAAGATTTTTCTGGCGGGATGCCTTGGGATAAGATCCGCCTTTCTCGGCGGAACCAAGAATGGTGTCGATAGTTTGGTCGGGGTTATGGTTGACTTTGGCGGCTGTCTCTTCCAGGTATCGAAGACATATGTCTGGGAATACGCTGAGAACTGTAGCCGCACAGGCGTCCTTGTCGCAGTCGACTGCCTCCATTGCCCCGGTGGGAGGCTTGGTTGATTGGTGTTGCATCACAAGTCCATTGGTGAGACCGATTTTGAGCTCTTTCGCGAGCCTTGGCAAAATCCCAGAACTCCTTCGGGCAACGATCTTGTTTGGGGCGGGAGCAACGGATTGATGCGCCCAGACTCTTCGAAGTTTACTATGTTTTTCATGATCAGCAACAGCCCTTTCATTTTGACACCACTTTTTCAGCAAGGCAAACATGGTAGGTAAGCTAGAAAAGTAATGTTGAATTTGGACTACACCCCAACCTAGCAGTCGCATCATAGGGTAAAAAGGGAAACGGCACAGCACAGCCGTGTGACAGGGAACACTTTTTTGGGTAAACGTGAGCTCGCCGGTGGAGGCGCATAAAGGGTAGAAGAAGAAAACGTGAATTGAGCTCAACACGCTTGCGTTGAATATCAAGAGCCACCTTACCCGATGATAATCTCGGTCCGCTCGCTCACAAAGCTTGTAAATGAGTCCCCGGGGGGTGTATGAGAAGGATTGGGCCAAGTAGGGAAGAAGGTTCGGGGTACATGAGCAACCAAAGAGGCTATTCGCGAAGAATAGCACAAAATAGAAGCGCCACCAAGCCTCGATATGGGAAGGAGGAGAAAATATGACAACAGAGTGCATCATACATACCTGCGGGAAGAAGCAGCCACTACCGACCTTTTCGTCTCGAATTTTTCTCTGCGGAAATCGTACGCGGTCCGATATCTCTGATGTGCGATAAAGGAGAAGCGATTGATCTAAAGTTGTTGGTCCGATCGAGACTCCGGATGCGCGAGGTGTGCGGAAGAAAATTGATATTCGTCGTAGGATGTGAGTTGATGAGAGATGGGATGGCACCGATCGATGAGACAAGGGAGAAATGAAGGTGGGAGGTGGGTAGGTCAAAAGACGGGAGGGTTGAAGATGTGAGAGAGAGGCGATTCCGGATCGAGGTGGGTCATGAGATGCCGTCCTTGGACGTCCTTGACGAGAGGCAGCTACGGGAAAGAGCACCTAGACCGCCGTGCCTCGCACCTTCCCGAGGACCCTTTTGGTCCCAAGGTATTGTTTTCCTTTCCTCTTTTTTATTGTCCCTTTTTCGCCTTCCGGGGGTGGATGTTCTCGCCCAACACCTTTGTGCGTGTGGCTTAAGTAAAACAAACAAACTTCACCTTTGGGATGTCGAATATTGAAGAAAATGGTTCCTGGGAGCCTCGCGGCCTTCCAAACGACCTTCACCTTCCCGACTGCCTTTCCCAACCAAAAATCCTCACAGTCGTTCGACAGCCTGGTGAATCGCCTGACCCCGTCTGACCGGACGATTTTTACCCCTCCGCTCCCGGTGCGCCTCGCCTCGCCGCGCCAGGGTCGTCGCTTCTTTCGCTGGCCCTGTCTCACCTCACCTAATCGTATTTCCTGTTTCTTCCCCGGTCAGGCCCTGTCGCTAGATTGTAAAGGCTCGAGGGAAAGCGACACGGCAATTTGGCGCCCACGAGGTCGCGATCCGCATATCGGTGAAGGGGAAAGGGGCGCATGAGGTGACGTTGGGAAAACATTCTGGACCTGACTTAAACCGATCGGTGGATCGTCAGATGGCCCCAGGAAGTTGGACAGAACCCCCCGGCCTCTCTTTAGCGCAAATCTTCAGCAGGGAAGGCCCT